CACTGATAAATTTAATTTTGATCGGGAATAGAGGGAAGAGGAGATTGACTGTTAACATCGGCGATATTGTTTTTATAAAGTTTATTCGGCTTTTCACAAAAAACTAAATTCTCAATTAACAATTATGCACACTCGACGAACGGTGGAAAATAAACTCAACGAGAGCGGACGGACATCTTGTGCTTGATCGTACTTGCTGCGCGCGTACGCGACGAAAATCTTGGGCGGAACTATGCTGTAGTTCCGAACGCGACGGAAATCTTCTCGCGACAATTTTAACGAAGATCGCAGCGATCAAGAGCCGAACGCGGATGCGCGATGCACCGTTCGCGAAATCGAGGTCTTTGAGAGTCTCCGGAACACTGTAATGTCGGAGCACGTGGTGACACGTGCGGTCGTAATTACAGCCGAAATATGCGTGTATTTCACAAACGACCGGAATGGATTGAAAATATCGCGTGCACGATACTCTACAAATTTTGCCGATGACCGGCGAAAATGAATCACTTGCGTAACTCGACGGATTAATTTTTCAACAACGCGGATTACTATTTTTCGGTCATTCGCTAACGTGTTGATCCACCAAGAGCCGGAACAAGAAGAAGGAACGGAAGAAGGAGCTGGATATTAGCGACTTAGATAGGCATAAAACGGGGGTGCGCGACAGATCATAATCGATACACCGCACATTCAAGTTGGCGAAAAAGGATCGCGAATGCGAATTACAATCCCAATAAGCACAAGTACATCCTATGTACGTACAACGGATGTCCGGTCGGACATTGTGTACATCCATCGGATGTCCAGATTACCTGCAGCGGACGTACAAAAGACGTCCATTGTACGTCCGTTTGCAACTGGTCTGGACGTTCATAAGTCGTCCATTATTGGTCATTTATGGATTTTAAATGGATAATTATGTATCTAACGGACGAATTTTGGATCTCATATAAACTAATTATGGATCTAATGGACGAATTTTGGATCTTTTATGAATAAATTTTAAATCTTTAATAAACATATTTTGGTTCTTTATTATACATGTATATCGTTGAAAATGACATTTAAAATTCATAAAGAAGAAATTTATAAGCAATAATAAATTTGACATGCAAAATTAATTCATTTTTATACTAATCATAAAATATTGCAGAATATTTCTTATTTTCGCATTTTATTTATCCGAATATTTATTTGTTCAATTTTTTCAATTAATTCAATATCTAAATTTTTTGTGTTGGGATAGTATCAGAAAGGTTAAACTGATCAGAATAATTATAACATATTTAACTGTAATAGCCACTTTTTGCATGCGCTTTATAATTCTCTTAACTAAATTTAATAGCGAGATGAACAGCGAATCTTGCGTCGCATAGCGGCAAATGAAGGAACTATTACAAGATAATATTGCATAGTATATTTTGCAATGTCTCCAATAAAATATTAAATTTATAATATTTGCACAATGTTGCTTTAATATTTATTATGATACAATGAAATAAAATATTTATGCAATATTTTAGCAATATTTCGTGCTGTAAGAGAATTTGATGGACATCCTGTGGACGTCCAAATATTAGTCACTGATGGATGTCCGAAATCGGATGTACAATGGACGTTCATTTCATGTCCATGGACGTACATACGTAAAATGGATATAAAATGAACGTCCATAGGACGTCTTGTGCTATCTGGGAATGAGGCGTGAGAAGGATCGACTACGCGCGATGCCTCGTTCGCGTGTAAATTTGTGATTCGCTAATGCGACGATTGAGGTTCTCATTATATCGATCGCGCGACATTTAACTTTTCGCGGAGACTCTCAAATATATGCAACGGTTCCGGAACAATTAATGTTTCGGATTACTTTAAAGTCTTCGTTAAAATAGTGAAAAAACTATTTCATTAATATTAAAAAATTGATACAGAAATAAAAAATGTAAATAATATAAATAATTTAAATTTAGCTAGAGTAGACTATTGTTTATTATTTTTAAATAAAAAATATGTTTATTATGTATATTGAAATTGTATCAATAATTATTTATATATCAATAAATATATATAATTAATAAGAACGTAGATATTTGAGAAACGCCAGACAGAATTTAAAGAAGGTAAAAATCTTCTCTCGGCCGTACTGGCAAATATTATTTATTCAATCACAAAGTTTCGACCCTTCTTTGAGTCCTTATCAAGTGATCTAGATATACATAGACATATAAAGGAGATACAGAGTGCCCCAAACGAGAAATCTTCAAAGATATATCGACTATATCGACAGTTTACCCGCCACCGACACACCGGAAGTATTCGGATTACATTCGAATGCTGATATTACTTATCAAATTAATACGGCGAAAGGAATACTTGACACGATTCTTAGCGTACAACCAAAAGAGGGAGGCGCGCAAGGAGGTGAGACCAGAGAAAATGTTGCGTACAAATTAGCTGATGATATGCTGTCTAAATTACCGAAGCAATACAATGCTTCGAAGTAAAGAAGCGCTCCAAAGAATGGGACCATTGATGCTTATGAATATATTTCTAAGACAAGAAGTTGATCGGTAAGTATTTATATTTCCTTTCTTTTTTTATATATATTTAAATAATATTATTATTCAGTCACTAAATTATTTTATTATTATAATAAATCATTTAAATGTATTTAATACAAAGAAGATAAAAAAATTTATTAAAATTGGAATAAAAAGAATTTTAATAGAGTAAGTTATTATATCTTCTCTTTGTTAATTAAGACAACTCTTTCAGAATTTCGAGAGTCATCAAAGAAGTGCGAAGTACTTTAACAGATTTAAAATTAGCCATTGAGTGTACTATTGTAATGAACCAAGGCTTACGAACATCATTAGATTCGATGTATGACGCGCGCATTCCGGATAAATGGTGTGAAAATTTCTTGGGATCTGCAACTTTGGGTTTTGGTATACAGAACTTTTAGAAAGAGATCATCAGTTCAGACAATGGTGCAATCACGGCCGTCAAGAGTATTTGGATGACTGGATTTTTTAATTCACAGGGATTTTTAACAGCAATGAGACAGGTGAGAATCAAAAACGTTAATAAAAATATTATGTCGGCTTATATACATGTAATATCATAACTAATAAGAATATAAATATATATCTAATAGGAAATAATTATTGATATTTAAATTTAATTTACAAAAAATTAATGAGTGTAAAATTATATAGAAATAATAAATCAATAAGTTATAACAATTAAAAAAAGTGTGATTATTACATTCGCAACATGTATTTTCTAGTATTTTTATAATGTAAATTGTGCATGCATCAAATTTTATTATAAATGCTTGTATAAAAAATTCTAGAAAATACAAGTTGCAAATGTAATAATCACAAATTATTTTATAATTATTATTATAACTTTATTGATTCATTATTTTTATGTAATTTTATACTCATTTTTTGCAAATAAATTTAAATATTATAATTATTTTTATTAGATATATATTAATAATTATATTTATTAGATATATATATATATATATATATATATATATATAATTCTTATTCGATTATATACATATAAGTCGATATATTATATTTCTTTATGAATGTATTTGCATGCTGTGAAATTCACTTGCTGGTTATAAAATTTATAATAAAACGATGAATAATAAAGCACATAAAAGATTGTGACAGTTATATATAGCTTATATTATTATAATTAGCTGCATCTTTTATAAGTTTTATTTTAAAATTTCAACTAAATATAAATTTTATAGGAAGTAACAAGAGCGCACAAGGGTTGGGCTTTAGATTCTGTAGTTTTAAAGAACGTGATTACGCGTTATAATAAAGAGGATATTAAAAGTCAGCCACAAGAAGGAGTTTATGTCACGGTTTGTTTTTGGAAGGCGCATCGCTCGATCGAAAAACCGGCAAACTCGTTGAGAGTAAACCAAAAGTTTTGTATGAACAAATGCCGGTTATTTACATTTTCGCAATAAACACTACCGCCGGTAAAGATCCGAAATTATATGAATGCCCTATATATAGAAAGCCTCAAAGAACAGATGCAAAATATGTCGGTTCTATCGATTTTGAAACGGATTATAATCCTCGACATTGGACACTTTGGTGAGTGTTAGAGATATTTAATGTGATCATATAATTATAAAGAATTAGATGTAATGTAAATCCATTTAATGTATAATATTTATATCTTTATATAACTTTCTGTCTTTTTTAAATAATACGCACGCAACGACTATATTTATAGTACTTTCTATAATACAAAATATTAAATTTGCTATATTTTGTATTATTTCTCTTTAGATCAAACAATAAAAAAATATGTTTGAATTATTAATTAGATAATTTATATTATGTAAATTGTTTATTTTTTATATGCAAATACAAATCTCTCACATTACCATTTTTTCAATAATTTTTTCTAATGCAAAATATAATGTTTAAAATCAAAGTGTTACAATAATATATTGCAGATTACTTGAACCGATAACTAAACCAATTTACTAATTATTTACTACGTGATACGCCTATCAAGCGCTCGATGTAAACTAAACCTGTATTTATCTTGAATTTGTACCAGAACCTTTTCGTTTTACTAATTATTTACTAAAATATATTATTTTTTTTTCTTAATGATTTAACTATTACATATGTCACATATATCACTTATACATATCAATTAAAGCATTAATATCAAAAAACTAATTTTCGAAACAATAAAATTTTATTTATAAAAACTATAGAACTGTGTAAAACTGTATTCATTTAAAAAATTTCACTTTTTCACATGTTCGAAATATAAGATAAAATATTTTTAGACAACTTAAGCTTGCATATAATACAAATATTTTATGAGACACAAATAATAACTGTAAATTTGACAAAAATCAACTCAAATCTTTCTTCAAAAAAATAAGACTGAAAAACGTGTATCAAAATACTTTAATTAATATTATCAATATTATTTGTTAAAATGTTATATTTACATTTATGAATTCTATATTTTATGACAGAAGCAATATTAAAAATTCTACCATCTTGGTTAAAGCATTCCAGTCAGCTTCTTGCTCAGTTTTTCCTATACCAATCTGTGAAAAATGAGGACAAGTATTGAGCTCTATTATTCTCATAAAATAGCTCTTATCTGCCGGTATTTCTTTTGTATTAACTGTTACATTAATATCTGATAATATAGTTTCTAATTTAGATAACTTCTTATTTATTATTATGGTAAATTTATCTGCATCTTCTTCGTCCAAAGATAGAATCTCGTTTAAATAAGAATGCAATTCTTCTAATGCTTTCTTACGTTTATCCATTTCTAAAGAATCTCTCCATTTAGTGTGATATTCAGATAATTTAATACCTAAATTCATCTTTTTATTGATTTGTTAAGTGAATAGTAGCGTTCTTTTGCATTTCTATTCATTATTTCCGTTTTATTAGTTGCTAAAGATGAGTCTAAAGATCCTTCTTCATCTTCAATGCTATTTAATTGATCCACAAGAGCTTTTATTCTTTTCACCATTTTTCCTGCAGCATCATGCTTTGCCATTTTTTTTGTCGGTGCAACTCCTTCTTCTACAAAACTAGATACTGTACATGTAATAGTGAAGACTCTAGCATGTGGTTGTCCAGAATCCTTGATAAGATCATAAATTGGTTCCTGTAAGTTATTTTCCGCACATAAATCCTGAAAAACATAATGATAAGTAACAATTATAGTAATTATAGTATACATATTTTATTTATTTAATCATATATGTAAATGTTTGTATAATTGTAATAACTTTTAACGATACATTGCACATTTATTTCAATTGCAACAGAATGAATTTATATTATTGTATGAATATTGAAAATAAAGAATGAGCCCCTCCATCGCCCAGTCTCGTGAAAATGCAACCATACATTTTTCTTCGTCTCTCTGATTTTAACACGACATACATATTTCTGTCTGATAATTTTTTTCTTGATGATACTTTTTGAAATGTCATGAAGCCTAGGTCAAATTAGAAACTTATTGCACTCGTTTTAATGCAGCGCTTACAGCAGTTTTATAAAGCGCCAGAGCAGCCGATATTTTATTTTGGCGCTTCTAGTTTATAGAGATTTGATTTGAAATTCATACTAGCCCGTACAATGAAAAATAATTGCTCGTAATTCCAGAGTACCAATTTGTTAATGACTCATTGTCAGAAAATAACATGGCGGCCTGCTCTCAAAAAACTTTCGATGGGTAGAATAAATATATGAAATAAGAGTTGTGAAAATTGTATAAATTAAAAACCTCCAATCTTTCTTTAGTAAAATTTCGAATTTTCGTATCAACTTCCGATTTGTGTTATACCGTATTTTCAGGGAGTAAGTTATTGATCAGAAAACTTTGCCTTGTTGCTTGAAACGGGTGTATATTAAGTAAAATTTATAAATGTACAGTTCTCAGGTCAAGTACAATGAAGCTATACGCTTAAAAAGTTTACTGATTATTTGTCGTAATATACAATAAAAAATTACATATTAATTATTCAAGATACAAGTAAGAAATAAATATCATTAAAATATACAAAAAAAATTTATCAATTTGACTCTGAAAAGTAAGTGAAATGGTTCTCAAAAGTGCAAGTACAAAATGTATTAGTGTTTTGATAATGATTGATTTAAATATTCCCATTAACCTAGGCAGGGTGGCATATGTGATTGGGATTTAACATTATCAGTAATTTATTGAACAGACAGAGAAAAGTTTTGTTGTATGCATCGGTTCAGTGTTTGAAATAACCATGTACTATTCATATACTCTAAAGCACAAATTCTTCATTTCTATCATAAATAATATCTATTTATTAAAATTTTAGCAGACGTCTTTTAAATAGAAAATAGTGTCTTGCGATCATGAAGAATAGGTTTTGAATAGCAAGGTTTACAATTTACAATTTACAACTTACAATTTTCTTCAGGAAACACAGAAGACAAAGGTATTTGTATATAGTTTTGTATATTCACTTCGTTGTGTGTAGAGCTTTTAAAAATACGTTGAATCCTTATTCTAATCTAATCTTCTTATAATGTAATACTTTCGTACTTCAAATGTTGTAGTAATTATTCTGTAAGAGCTTTGACATTATTTCTAAATAGACATTGAGAAACATCATAGTTTTTTGAGTGCAGTTTTTCATTGTACAGACTAGGTTTAAATTTTTGAGGACCTTTTTTTGAACATGGCTTGACCTTTTCATTTTTATGATTTTTTGGAGATAGGGTAAGAAAGGACGAATGAGAGTAAGAGAAGACGAGATAGGCGAAAGAGGGTGAAAGAGAACGAAAAAGGGTGAGAAAGGACGTACGAGGGTGAAAGAGGATGATAGAGGGCGAAAGAGGGTGAGAGAAAGAATGAAAGAGGGTAAGAGAGGACAAAAGAGAGTGAAAGAAGGTGAAAGAGGACGAAAGAGGGTGAAAGAGGGTGAAAGAGGGCGAAAGAGGGTGAGAAAGAAATGAAAGAGAGTGAGAAAGGACGAAAGAGAGTGAAAGAAGGTGAAAGAGGACGAAAGAGGGTGAAAGAGGACGAAAGAGAGTGAAAGAGGGTGAGAAAGAATGAAAGAGGGTTAGAGAGGACGAAAGGAGTGAAAGAGGACGAAGGAGGGTGAGAGGGAATGAAAGAGGGTGAAAGAAGACAAAACAGGGTGAAAGAGGGTTGAAAGGGAATGAAAGAGGGTGAGAGAGAATGAAAGAGGGTTGAAAGAGGACGAAAGAGGGTGAAAGAGGACGAAAGAGGATGAAAGAGGGTGAGAGAGGATGAAAGAGGGTGAGTTACGACGAAAGGAGGTGAAGAGGACGAAAGAGAGTGAGAGGACGAAAAAGGGTGAAAGGGGCGAAAGAGATGTGAAAAGAGGACGAAAGAGAGTGAAAGAGGACGAAAGGGGGTGAGAGGGGAATGAAAGAGGGTGAGGAGAGAATGAAAGAGGATGAGAGAGGACGAAAGAGGGTGAAAGAGGCGAAAGATGGTGAAAGAGGACGAAAGAGGGTGAAAGAGGACGAAAGAGGACGAAAGATGGTGAAAGAGGACGAAAGAGGGTTTAAAGAGGACGAAAGAGGGTGGTGAAAGAGGTGAAAGAGGGTGAAAGAGGACACAGAGAGGAGAGAGAACGAAAAACTGAAAAAATAGGACGAAAGAGGGTGAGTTAGGGCGAAAGAGGGGTGGAAGTGGGGTGGGGGTTAAGGGCGGGGGACGGAATGTGGGAGGGAAAGGGTGAGGAGGGAAAGGGGTGGGTGGGGAGTTGAGGGAGGTGTGAGTGAAAGGTGAGAAGAGATTTATATATATATATATAATCCTGATGACGTCAGCGGACGCGGACAGAGAAGAAGAAGGAGACGACGTTACTTCATTTTTCATGAAAAACGTCACTTTTTGACCGCTTGTATCTCCAGAACGGCTTGACCGATTTTATTCCTTCTTGGCTCAAATTACTCGTGGCGATGCCGCCTTTCAGGTTATATTACGTGCAATTCAAAATTTTTTATATTTAGTGGTTCTACACCCCCAAAAAATGGACTTTGATGGTGCAGGATAAGGAGACTTGTAGTGTCTTTTAAGGTCTTTTAGGGTTTGAACATGGCCGGAGACACTACCGCGTCTCCTAATACATAATAATGTCGTAAAATCGTATATAAGTGTATAAATACAAATATAAATACATATTCATATTTACATTTGTGTAATCCCTTAAAAAAGGTAAAAGAGGCGCCCAGTTAACGGCATGCCAGTAACAAAAAATTACCCATTGCAAACCCTAAGATTAATTGTAAAATCCTAAGACTTTTAAAAATATTTTTAATAAAAATGGTTGTACAAGATAGTTATTTTTATCTATAGTAAGCAAAGAGGACCGTCGTATTTTGATTTGAAATATGACAGAAGTGGTGACGGGTTCTTCGCTCATTTATTTAGATGTTTATCATATACAATGAATGATATAATCTCTAAAAACTTATCTTTAAAAAAAGGTAAAAAAGGGGCGCCCAGTTAACGGCGCCCAGTTAACGGCCAGTAACAAAAAATTACTCATTTCAAACCTATGTAGAATCCTATGAAAAATTGGAATAATGGGTACCCAAATACTTGGGCCCGTTATTCTACCAGATATTTTAATTGGCCAGACGTACGTGGAACTTTTAAAAGAAAATCTGCCCGATTTTTTAGAAGAAGTGCCACTATTTAAAAGAAATAAAATGTTCTTTCAACAAGACGGTGCTGGACCACACAACGCCAGGATTGTAACAAACTACTTGAACGAGCAGTTTCCTGGACGTTGGATGGGTCGGTATGGCCCGATACGTTGGCCCGCAAGATCCCCGGACCTTAATCCTCTTGATTTCTTTTTATGGGGATACTGTAAGGAATCAATATACAAAACGCTTCCCGAGGACGTCGACGACTTAGAAACCAGATTGCGATATGTAATTTGGAATATAAAAGAGGAAGTAATGGAGAACGTCCAATTAAATTTATTTAAACGCATGAGAGCTTGCATAAGGATGGATGGTGGTCATTATGTAATTTGGAATATCGAAGAGGAAGTAATGGAGAACGTCCAATTAAATTTATTTAAACGCATGAGAGCTTGCATAAGGATGGATGGTGGTCATTTTGAGCACCTATTATAAATTAATCCGTTCTTTTTAGAGCGACCAAAGTTAATCCGCTCTTTTCAGAGCGACCAAAGTCAATCCGCTCTTTTCAGAGCGACCAAAGTCAATCCGCTCTTTTCAGAGCGACCAATACATTTATACATGGAACATCTTGTTCGCAAAACATAATCATTTTTCTCACGTCTCGCTTAAAAAGAAAGGGCAAAACGGGCGGATAATGTTAAGTCATTAAAAAAAATGTATTATAACGTAAAAAATTATAATACGTTATAATATGCCTTTTTTAATAACATAATTATTATACGTTTTAATACATGTCTCGCGTCAATCACATGTTCGGCAACGCCGCGTGATTGTTATCGTCTAGACGTGTCGCGAAGCGTCGCGACGCGTCGCGTCGTCCGTCGCCGCAGTCTGTTGTCGTGTCCTTGCCGTGTAAACAATTGTCGTCCGCATCGAGTAACGTGTGCCTTTTTACAAGTAATTTTTAATAATTAATCGGTACACTGAGAGAATTTTCTCTTAAAATTTACCCTAAAAGTTATGGTAATTGTGAGACAATACGGTATGAAAAGAATTTTATTAAAATTTCTCTGATTAATATTTATCACATTAAAATAATATCTATCACAATAAAATATGAAATATGTGTGATTAATTTTACTAAACTGTATAGTAAAATTAATCAAACATATTTTATATTTTCTTGTGATACATATTATTATTTTTAATATGATAAATAGTAGAGAAATTCTAATAAAATTCTTTCCACATCATAATGTCCTACGATTACCATAATTTTCTAAGTAAATTCTAAGAGAAAATTCTCTTAGATTGTGATTATGATTGTCGTGTCCTTGCCGTGTAAACTATTGCCGTCCGCATCGAGTAACGTGTGCTGTGCGCGCCGCGCGTTTTTACAAGTAATTTTTAATAATTAATCAAAACACTGAGAGAATTTTCTCTTAGAATTTACCCTAAAAGTTATAGTAATTGTAAGAGAATATGGTATGGAAAGAATTTTATTAGAATTTCTCTGATTAA